AGGTAGATACAGGTATTAGAGAGACAGGTAGAGACAGGTATTATAGAGACAGGTAGAGACAGGAAGAGACAGGTAAGGACATGTAGATACAGGTATTAGAGAACATCTGTTGATGCAGTTGTTGAGCAGCCTGGGGGAGCACTGCCTGTCAGTAAAGGGAGAACAGGTTCCTACAGAACTATGAACACATGTGAAAAGGTTTGGTTCTGGTCTTACAGGTTGCTGAGGCCAGGGTTCCTGGGCCCCCCCCTCAGGGTTCCTCTGATGGGGTTCCTGTAGCAGCTGGACAGTTCTGGAGACGTCAGCGGCTCGAAGAAGCGTCCTGGAAACAAAACCCTGATCAGGAACTGAGATCTGGATCCACCCGACCTGCTTCTGGTTCAGTTCTAACCGGATTGCAAGGAGCCCACCTCGTCCAGCGGCCTCCGGACCGAGGGCCGACCCAGGAACCGAGATGTGGTCCTTCTGGGCCAACCCAGGAACCGAGATCTGGTCCTTCTGGGCCGAGAGGACTCGTCTCCAGTAAACTTCAGGGAGGGACAGCAGCCGAACCACCACCTGCAGAAGGAACAAGTACTCACATCATGTGTAAAAGTACTCAGATAATGTGTAGAAGTACTCAGATCTGGTACTTCTGGTTCTTGAGTAAAAGTAGAAGTACTCGGATCTTGTACTTTAGTAAAAGTAGAAGTACTCAGGTCTTGTACTTGAGTAAAAGTAGAAGTACTCAGGTCTTGTACTTGAGTAAAAGTAGAAGTACTAGTAAAGTAGATAAGGTAGGACCTTGGGCTGGGTGCTGGTCTCCCTCAGGATGGTGGTGGGAGACGGGTCTGGCGTCCCGTGACCCACCAGAGTCGGTCCAAAGACCCGGGACAGGTTGTTCTGGTCCATCTGACAGGGGGGGCTCCGTACCACCCTGAAACAGTCATTTGAGTGTAGAGTTATATTCATCATATATGATGTAGACATGTTCTTAAAGTATGATGTCATGGGGGGGGTTAGTACTTTTGTAAGTGGAGCATGAGGAAGGCCAGGGTGTCTCTGTGGGGGGGGGGGAGCTCAGAGAGGGCCCGGTACACAGCTGCAGTACTGCTGTCTTCATCCTGCAGCTCTAATACACAGGAATACACACGTAAATACACACGTAAATACAAAGGTAAATACTAGGGATGCCAGCGATTATTCGATTTTTCGAATATCCGTTACAGCCTCCATAATCGAAAATAATTTTTTTTAAATTTGATTTTAAATAATCGATTAATATTCGCAAGGGCTGTCCGATTTTCGAATTTGATCATGGTCAGTTTCTGGCATCCCGAGTAAATAAACAGGAATACACAGGTAAATACACAGGAATACATGACTGCAGTACTGTTGCCTTAATAATGGATAATATTAAAAGTATATTTGTTATTATTGTTATTATGAATTACCTGCAGCCTCCATGAAAGTTCGATGCAGTCTGAAGGTCAGCAGCGGTTCCTTCAGGTTCCTCAGGAAGTCCTTCAGGAACCCACAGAGAACATGGACGTCCTGCACCTTCCCCGGGGGGGGGTCTTCCCCTGCAGGACCATCATCCTGAGCTCCTTCCCCAGCCGCTCCCCCCCTGGGACCCGGTACAGGCCCCTCTGTAGAACCACACTGTTAGCATGTAGCTGTTAGCATGCAGAACCTCCCCCCAGGACCCGGTACAGACCCCTCTGTAGAACCACACTGTTAGCATGTAGACCCCCCCTCTCACCTCCTGCAGCCCCCTCCTCTCGATCTCAGCGACACACTCCACCATCAGGTGGGGCACCCAGGGGGGGGCACCCGGGGAGAAGTCCTCCAAAGAGTTCTGCAGAGGAGATTTTACAGGATAAAGCACTGGTTCTGTCCCCCCGATCATCACTAA